CACCATTTTTCAACCAATATACTATTATTATTATAAATTATTATTATTATTTTATAATTATTATTTATTACAAACTGGCTCAATATTCAACCGATTTTTTTGTTCTTGGTGGAGGGAGATATTTTTAGTTTGAATTTCAAATGGGGACAAGACATTTAACGAGTGTTACTTTTGAGAAGACACATCATCAATCTAAATTAACTAACACAAATCAATATCATTCATGAATAAGCTTTAATCTAAGGGTCCTTATCCATGGATCTTTGTCAAACAAACACAAAGTTAGTTAAAATTTGGATTTAAAGGCTCCCATGATGTCATGTCATTGATCTATGCTAACAAGCACAAATCAATATGAACCATTGGATCTAAATTTGATCCAATGGCCAAGGATTACCCCATTAAATATGATCATCGGTCGATCACCGATGCTTTGCCAGTACATGCGTCAATCTCTTCATCTTTCTCATCGTGATATCGTCGCCCATCGTCCGTGAACCCTGCCACTTTCATTGTTCCACCATCATCGCCCCAGCAACACAGTAAATGAAAGAAATCAGATCAAATCCAACCAAAAACCCCAAAAAATCTGGGGCATTAAAAACGCAATCCATCATGCACAATGAATGTCAAAAAACAAGTAGGATTAGGTTTTGTTTTTTATTGTAAAATCTCTGTAATCTTGGGTATAAAACTCAAAAATCAATATGTAAAAGGGGTCTCCCCTCATTTTTTTTGGAGCAATACAAAAGCAAAAAAAAAATCAAGGTAAAAAAAAGAAAAGAAAAACATCTGATTTCTTTTCTTTTTGTAAACAAATTTCGATATTTTATATATATAAAGAAGTTGAAGAGTTTACTGGAGAGGGTAGAGCTTCGCGTCGTCGGGGGGCTCGTCGGAGTGGTATGAACCAAAAGGCTGGGTCTTAGTTTAGGGGTATCTAGGCCTTACTTAGGGGGGGTTTTGGCTTTGATTTGTGTCTAAGTGGGTAGATCGAGGTGTTTTGGTTTTTTTAGGTTATTTTTAGGAACTCCGATCACATAAATAATACATCCACAAAAATAATACAAAATAGTAAGTTCCAAAAAGAGTTACGATTGAAAACATAATATGGGTTCATAATAATGCATGCCCTCTATAGATTACTCAAGACGTACTCTGAAAGGTCTCTGGAAATCTGCTTTGATGCATTGGAATATCTTATGGCGATAGCTCCCCAAAATCTGCCCCTAAGAACCTGCGCACAAAAACACATTCTAAATGTTGAGCTTACGAACTCAGTGTTTCACTGAAAACTATAGTATACTATATGGATTTACTAGATGAAATGACAAGTGGCACAAGTCTAAATATGTTGAATATTGTACTACTAATATGTGGCTGACATCATGGTGTGGTTGAGGGATTATGCATCTCGAAGCTCACACACCCCTCTAGCAATGCCGAAACACCATTGTGTACTCCTGGGTGAAATCTGGAATTCTACATCGGAACATACACCCATCGACTTACTCCGTCGAGTCTTGGGGCATCTAGCACTCAGTCGGCTGCTGTAGTACCGTGGCACTGACTTGGATCCACTGACTGTCGTATTTATGCTAAAAGGAACTTGGATGTCCTGATTGTTTTTCGAGCGTCAAACAAGGTTATTTTTATGTAAACCTAGCTATTTTTGTTTCTACCATTGTGATATTAATTATTGTTCTCTCTTAAAGTCTTATTTGAGGATATATTGAAGTGTTGGGGTACCTCGAGTCTAATTCCCTTAAAAACTGACCTTTTGTCCAAAACAGACTGAAAGTGTCGATACTAGCCCAAGAGTATCGATACTCTTTCAAAAGTTTCGATACTTTCTACAAGTATAGATACTTTTAAATATTCTGAACTGCCTAGTTTCGATACTTTCTGGGAGTTTTGAAACAATGACCCAAAGTATCAATACTCTTGAAAGAGTATGGATACTCTTGCCCAGAAACTCACGAGTTTGCCTAGAGGGATAATATCGAATGTCAATTTGTAAAGAGCATAAAATAGGTGCAAAAAATATTATTCTACCATCCCAAAGACCTTAGTGAGGTCCCCAAACATTATTAATGTGTCATGAAGATACAAAGGAACATAAATAGGGCTTTAAACATGTTTATAACTCTAAAACATGAAATCTACAATTAGAATGCTTCAAGCTTATGCAACCTACTACATTTCATCTAAATGACTTACATATGGTATAGTTAAGTCAAGAGTGAGTTACCTTTGATGATATACTACTGGAAACATCAAAGGCTCAGCCCAAAGTAAACTTTTCCTTCCCCTTAGCTTAGGAGCCTTTTCCAACCTCTTGCACTAAAAAAAAAACCCAAATGCAAGGGTTACTAATTGTTGCTAGGGATTAAGAAGGGTTTTAAAACACTTTCTAAGGCTAGAGATATCTAGAAAATGGGTTGGAACCATCTAGTTCCTAAAACCCTTCTAAACGTGTTTCTTACACCTATGGTGAAATGGGTGTCTTGAGAGCTTGATACAAAGCTTGGGATACAAGGATCGTGATTCTTACCTTTAGATTGTTGAACTAGAGTTGCAAGACTACCAAGTGTCTACCTTTACTTCCTTCTTGGAGAGGAAGAAATAGCATGAAGATGAAGATTTGAAGGGAAAAAAGAGACAAAGGAGAGTTGAGAAAAAGAGGGTGTATCAGATGTGATATCACCAAGGAATTAAGGATTTCAGCCTTATTTTTGAACAAGAGTATAATTGCTTCCTTGGTCCCTTCAATTCTGACTGTAAATTAAAAACACCATTTTTATTCACTATTGGGCTTACCTTAAGCCCAAATCCTCTTTAATTTGGGTCAAGGCTTCCTACAAGCTAGAGATTTAAACCGATGTCCATCTCGGGTTAGCCCAATACTCTTAACCTGGGATTCGGGACGTTACAACTCTGAACTATTTGACAATAATCTCTCAATCAATCTTGCAGACGCTGATGCTCGAACACGTGACTTCGAATAACAAGAATTCTTTTAACCACTGACGTAATTTAATTCATGGTAGATTCTTTTAAATTTTATATTTTCTTTTCAAAAATTTTCATTTAATACTATTTAATAATATCATATGATCTTATATAAATATATCATGTCATCAGTTTATGATGAGATGAAAAGTAAAAAAAAAAACAGTAGTAATATTATAGAGTAATTATTAATAAAAACATTCCACATTCCTAATATTAACAAAAAAGATATAATTTATGGATTACTAATATATTAAGCCAAAAGTTATCGTTTTAGCCCCTCTTTTCCTTTCGCCTTATTTTTCTACTCCAAGAGCCAACCTCAATTCTAACCAATTATTGTAAGTTGGCATGCCAAACTTATAATGCCAAACCTCAATTATTTTAAGTTGTTATCAAAGTCTATTTTACTTCTAATAAAATATTTGAATGGTACAACTACATATTGTTCTACTCAGAGGCGGAACCAGGAGCCTTCGTCAGGGGTTGCAAGAGTCCCATGGGTAGCACTTTTGAGGGGTGGCACTTGGATTAGGGGTGACACTTGGATTAGGGGTGGCACTTGTGGAGGGGTTGCTTGGGATACTCTGGGCACCATGGAGGTCCAACCCTAGATGAGGGGTTCCCAGGATACCCCGAGCTCTATGGAGGTCCGCCCCTGGTTCTACTAGAGGAGTGAATTACACAAAATTTAGAGCTTCACATGTGATATCCACTTATAACAACTTTGTCAAATCTTCTACAATGAAAAAATTAAGAAATTTTAATTATCAAATAGGCATTTAAATTATACATCTATCAAATCAATCGCCATCAATTACCTTTCTGCCATCGGAGTCTCATCAATTGATCGCACCTCTTATTATTGCATGTCATCTTTCAAATTTTTACGTCGTTACACGTTGTATTTAAAACCCCGTCGCCATATAAAACCATTTTTTAACTTAGTAATCGTTTATTTGTCATCACCGATGAGACTACACCGCTACCCGACCAAAAATTTACCCACATGAATCTCCACTCATCACCTGATCTCAAATCTTTAAAGATATTTGAGAATATAGAGATTTGTGGATTAAAAATTTAGAGTGTTTGATAAAATTAGAAAAAAAATATGTGGTATTTAAGAAAATTTGGCATTTAGTTTTTTTTAATTACTATTAATAATAAATTAATGTCACGTGTCAAATAATCATTAATTGAGGAAATTTTTAACGATCGTTGACAAGATAATTTTAAGATTAATAGCGGAATGAAACTTTAAGCACCTTAAAAGCAACGAAATAAACGTTAAATACCTATTTTGATCCAAAAAAATCTTTAGATATCTACAATAAACATTAGAAACTTCTTTGCACTGCATTGCAGACTTAGCAGTTCTGTCCATTGATCGTGTTATTCAGGATTGTTTGGTGGATCTCACCGTACAAGCAGCAAAAACCATTGCAACAGATCTAATGTCTTATTTCAGAAACATACTAGAAACGTCATGTTCCAAACCCAACAAGATGGACATTACAATGATAATTCAAATACTTAAGAAGCCTCTCTCCTTCAAGCTTTCAATGGTTTCCCTCGTACTCACATCCCAAGGAATGAAGCTTAGACCCAAACTCTTTTCTTTCTCCTGGGATATTCGAAAAAAATACTCAACCGACTTGTCTTGATCTCTGCATCTGTCATGAATTGAAGAAGACGTGACTTTTATCAGCAATTTTATCATCAAACATCTTTTTTCTGAATAGTTTGATGTAATTATAAGATAATATCTGTTCAGATATTTTTTTAGCGTATTGACTACACGTAACTACTCGAATCCAAGACTTTTAAAAAGATTCTAGTTAAGACCTTTCACTCATGCACCGATGCACGTAATGGGGACTTTGCAATTATGACCATTGATAACACAGGATAATACTAATAGTAAGATAACTCAGTTGCTTACTTTTCTTGAAGGCCCAAAGTAGGATAAAACTCATTCAAGGTCTTCAGAATCTTCAGAACTTGTACATTTCTTTCAACTAAGCAATACCTGCCATTAGCTGAAGGAATCTCAAATGCTTGAATATGTGCATATGCAACATCTCGAACGTCAACCAACCTATAACTTGAAGTAGGAAAATTGTTTTCTCCTGTATCCAAAAGAATTTAAATCATTTTACAACAAAAATCATGCAGACAAAAAACCCTGGGGAGGGTCTAGCATCAATGATATATGGTTCCCTTGGTAGGGTAAGCTTAATCTAAAAGGCACCTCTCGTGAGGGAGAGAACCGACTGAAGTGATATTTAGAACTGGCTGTAAAGGAGGACCAATCACAAATCCAGGATTAAGTACAACCAAGTCGATCCTATTATCTTTTGCAAACCTCCAAGCTGCTTCCTCTGCTAAAGTTTTTGAGAGCATATACCAAAGCTGGAAAAACCAAAGATTGAGAAGTAATACTTTAACACTTCCAAATTGTACTTAATGATCATGAAGAAGATTTACAAGGACTTTTGATGTTTGACTAAATCAAAGTGTTATTTAATTAGAAACCTCAAAGAATGAACATACCTTATTTTCCTTGCAAAATCGTGAATCTGAAAACCAAGTCTCATCGACCATGGAACTGAGGCCACGGAAGCTGTCATGACAACTCTCTTGATGGAAGGCACTTTCGCACATGATTTTAGAATGTTACTGGTCTTTTCTTTGCCTTTGATCCTTTCTCACAGCAGTTTGACAAATCTTGTAAGAATCTTACTGGTCTTTTTAGTTCCTCTAAACTAGGTTCCCACACCCTGGCGGCTCAATTAAGAGCAATACAAGAAGAAAACGAAAAAAGAAGTACAAAATGGAAGCATGAACCTGTGGATCAGTAGCTGAAACGATAACAGGGGTGGCTAAATGGAAGACACCTTGGCATCCTTCTACAACAGAGTCGAAGCATCCTTCATCTAACAACTCTGCTTTGAACAAATGAAGTCTTTCCTTAGCTCCATCGAGGGAAAGTAAGTGTTGGGTCTTCTTTGGATCATCTGTTCGATGTTCAAATTAACATAAAATATTCTAATGTCAAACCGAACTGAAACTGAAACAAGCAAGAATTTTCTTTTCTTTTCTTTTAAAAGAAAAGAGAAAAATACGAACTTGGGTCACGAACAGTGGTTCTAACAGTGTAGCCACGGTGCAGCAAGAGCTTAACGAGCCATGAAGCTATGTAACCAGACGCTCCGGTTACGCACACCACCTTTTCTGCTGCATTCATCTCTAATCTGCAGCCGAGTCGGCGTCAGACTCAGAGCAGTGTCGCTATAAGTAATTTGATTTCGGGAACCTCTTGACATAACTAGCTAGATTCTGAGGGAGGCGTTTCCAGGGCGGACCAAGACCTTAAGCTATGTTAATGAGCCCATCTAAGACGAGAGTGACTAAATTTTCAATACAATGTGGTAGAAAGCTGTTTTTTTTTTTTTAATGATCAATAAAAATATGAATAATTTTTTCTCAACACAAAAGTTTTTTAAAATAACGAAATAATCACTAATATTTTCATTTTATAACAAATTGGTAACTCATTCTTTTACCGTTGTTATCATATTCATAGAGTTCTGATGAAATACTGTAAAATAAGAATTTATATTTATCCATTTTCGCTGCTTAAACCGCATGTTATATGATTCCCTCATCAATATCTCTAATTTTGGTATTGTTTAACTTAACATTTTACTTAATCGTTATAAGTTAAGTATTTATTGACTAATGATTTCTATCGATAAAAAAAATTATTTTAAAATAAAATGTTAAATATCAAAATATATAAAAAGAAAGAAAGAATAAAAATGGTAAACGTTCTTTTACCATCATGTCAAAATTAAATTAAACTCTACTTTAATAAATTGTACAAATTAGGTGTATTATGTGGTAAATGAATTGTTGTTATTCCTTAAGGACTCAGTTCGATCACCATAGATGTCAAGATGTAAGCATTCAATGTCGAAAAATTGAGAGTTATGTTTGAATAAATATTGTCTTATACTTACCCCAAATTATTAAAAAAACTATTTCAAAACGTTTAGTTTCCAGGTCATAAAACAAAACGTTTAGTTATGCATTTAAATAGTTGAGTGGTCTGATTGACAAAAATTCAAAAACGGTGGTCGAAATGAAAAGGGACTATAATTGGGTGATCTCTAATATAATTTACCCAAGAATTTTCATTAAAAATATGTGTCTAATATTTTTTCCTGATACCTTTAGGTGTCTATCACTATATTTTTTATTTTTTAAGAGTAAAAATATTATTTTTTAAAAAAATCACCCTCCCTGAGTTGTCCCTTTCCCTCCCATCCCCTATATCCGATGACGATGAAGGATCATCAACGGCTGAGGTTTTTCAAAGCAAGGTGATAAACTTAATGGTGATGATCGTATCACGTACGATCAGCTGTAGTCGTCGGAATCCTTGAAAAACAACGAAGAAAAACTTAGAAAACTGATGATTCTTTGCGACACTTTTAACGACGAAGTTTCACGGAGGGTGAGGGGTTGGGCTTTGGTCGCGACAGCGAGACGATCTTGATTGTGGCAATAGTGACAGCCACTAGTCGACTAATCGATAGGTGGTGGAATTTTGGATTTTTTTATTTTTTAGTTAATATTAATTTTTTAAATTATATTTTTGATATTTTATACGTGTGACGTGTGTCAGATAACAATAAAATTTAACGGTCGTTACGGTCTAGACACCTAAAAGTGTAACATTGAAAACTTCAAGAACCTATTTTTATTTTTATTAAAAAATTATTCACCAAAAGTCAATTTGAGATATAGTTTAGGCATCTAAAAGTGTATTAAGCCTTAAAAATAAATAAAAAAATATAATTGTAGGCACCTAAAAATATAATGAAAAATTGTAGGTTCGAATCCTTGTATATGCAGAAAATCCTCGTTGGGAGACTCACCCACCAAAACTAGATGTACGACCCAGGTCGGTCCAGATTAATCAAGACTAAATCTTGGAACTGGATGGCAACATATATATATATATATATAATGAAAAAAGGTTAAGCGTCTATTTTTAACAAAAAAAAATAGACATAAAAAGTCAATTTAAAATATAATTTAAGCATTTAAAAGTGTATCAAACTAGTTTTATATTATAAATATTCAAATTATTTATATCTATTTTTATATTTATTTTTAATTCATCTTCTTAGAAATACACAATATCTTAAATTGTATCCAATATTTATTGATAAATAACGGTGTTATTTGTGATTTAGGGTTGGCCTCCCAAATTACCCCGCCTAACCATAAACCTTACCCTACAAATTTTTGGGGTTGCGCTTTGCATCTAGGATGGTACAGACTTATAGTTTAGTATTAAATATAATTTAGCACTTCCGTGTCCTTTTCACCCCTTCCCTTTCACCCTTCGCCCTTCGCCCTTCGCCCTTCGCCGTTCGCCCTTCGCCCTTCATTATTTTCATCTCCTCTCAGTTTATTTTCCTTTTTTTCATTTAAGGTTAAATCAACATTATATCCATAGATTTAATACTTTGTTTACATTTTTTTAAAAACCTATATTACATATATTTTTGAACCTTTGGTGAAAAATAAATACTCCAATGTTTTATTTTTGATAAAAAAAAATTGATTTATACCATGTCTGAAAAATATGCAAGCAAATAAACAATAAATATAAATAAAATAAAATGAACAACGAATATGTTCACATTAAAATTTGAATTTTTTAAAATAATTTTTTATTTTATTAATTGTGTTCATCTTAAAATTTTATTTGATTTGTTTCATACAAAAATTTAATATTATTAATATATGCTCTTTATCCTATAAAATATATTTCTAAATTTGTCATTGTCCAAAATATTGTATAAACCTTTACAAAATTTAGTACCCAAACAATATTAGAATGCCTCGATCACTCTACCAAAGCCATCTACCGACACACGAGATTTCGTTGGTTCATTGCTGAGATCAGGTTCATGTGAGTCACAACACTTGCATTTCAACTTGTACGTTGCTCATGTGCTCCGCTTATTCAATGGTTACTTTTTAGTTATGTACCATAAATTAAAGCTGCACTGTACAATAGATAAATAGATAGGTAATAATTGTGTTTTGGATTGAAGGGGAAACAGAGACTGACTTCACTTGTAACATTCACAGTATTTTCTTTCTCATTTCTCCATAGAGAAAATGAAATTGACAAAAAGGACTATCAAATTCATGTTCCATGACAGTCAGATGAATGCATGATGGCTTTCCTCAATATCATTAGTGTGTGATTGTGATCCCATTTTCCTTGCCTCTGCATCATCTAGATAATTTTGGTAAATATAAGAGCAAAAACCACATAGTGCAAGTAGCATAGCAATTACCTTCACCCCATTCATCTTGTCATGAAAAACTACCAGAGAAACCAAAGGTGTAATCGCCAACGATAGGGTACTTATCACGTTGGAGAAGAGCGACGACACCGTGAAAATCAACCCCACCGCACCAACAGCACATACCTGCCAACTCACGGCCGTCCAAACCAGAGTCAGCACGTACGAAACTCTTCCGCTGTTGAAGCCCTCCATCTCTAGCGGCAATCCCTTCCATTCCCCACTCACAAACAAGCCGACGATCGAAACACAGGTCGCCACGAGCGATGTATATATCAGCATTTCCAGAACCACACTAAATGTTTCCCTTTTCAACACCTTCTGAAACGAGAGTTGCATAAGGGAGAGTGAAAGGGAGTAAAGAGCAGAAGCTCCGAGGGTGCATATGAAGCCGAGGAGATACTTCCCCTTGGAAACTCCCGACAGTACTTTTGAATCGTCATTCACCGCAATCAGAGCAGCGGACAACGAGAGGATAACCACAGAGTTGAGAATTAAAGCAGTCATCTTCTCCGAGTTAAGAAAGTACGAAAAAACGGCATTGAAAGCTAACTGAGTGGCACAAATGAGGGAATAAGTAGAGGCTGAGAGATACAACAGCCCAACAGAATACAACATATTATCACCGGCTGCAATTAATCCAAGAGCAAAATAGAGCAAAGCAACAACTTTGATGGAAGGAGAGAGTGATGAAGAAGTCGAAGTCTCCAGTTTCCGAGACGGATGAAGAAGAAACAAAGGGATGAAAAGGATTGGAAATCCAGCAGTTTGCACAAAAGTTGCCATCCATTCACTATTTCCACCTTGATCATAGTAAAATCTCCCCAGAAGAACAGCAGCAGCTTGGCCTACAATAAGGAACAAAATGTTGATAGGCACCATAAACCACCAATGCCAGCGCCCCAGCTTAAGAAACGGTGAGTGATCCATTAAACTTTCGTCCATGATCAGAAACGGTACTTGATCATCTGTAATTGAATGTAACTCTAAAGTGTAAACAAACAATTTTATCTCATAACTTTCTATAACTGAAAACATCAATAGAAACTTTTAATTCACAAATAATAAAAAAAAGCCCTTCCCAAACATAAATATCTTAAAAATTACGAAAATCCACAAATCCTCCCTGGATTATACCAACAAACTTCAATAAGAATATGGAGAACAACAGTAAGCAAACATAAAACTAAAAGCAAAAATATGTTCTTCAAAAGAGTAACTGCCAACGTAATTAGTGGGAAAAGGAGATTAACCGATTCATTAAGCAATATACACCGGTATTTGGCTTAAAATTAAGCAGATGTTCACAAAAACAACAATGTGTTTTAGGTGCCATATTCCAAATTGAATAATAAAAGAAACTTCAGTGTTAAGGAATCGTATAATCGAGAATCAACAGAAAATAAGCCTAGCAACATCGTTTCGTCATGAACAACAACCCTCAGACAAAGGGAGGGGGGAATACAGAAAGGGAATCAGAGTGACGATGACAAATTCTGACCATTCATTTATCGATTCCGAGGATAATACAATAAAGAGAAAACGCGGGAGAATAGAAAGGAAGGGGTTACCTTTCATGGTGCGAAGGTTGGATGGATCGCTGAATCGAAGCAAGAAGGCGCGGCGTGGCTCTGTGAAAGAATGAAACAGGAAGGAAAGAAGAAGATCTTTCCTTTTGGGAAGTGGCTTGGGCCAACCGCCCCTGCAACCAACAATGTAGTAATTTTATTCGAAGGAACGAGGAAGTTAAAACTTCCTTATCGCTGCTTTTGTTCTGACATTAATTTTATTTTGGTTAACTACAATTTTCGTCACTCCATTTTATTCTTATTCCTATTGTGGTCCCTTAATTTGAGCATTAATTTTAAAATCTTTTATTCTAGTAATGTATTAAATTTGTAGATTAAATCCCCTAAATTTTATAATTAATCAATTTGATCACCAAGATTAACTTTAATTATTAATATTTAATTAGATCCTAAATTCAATTTAATATAACAAAATGTTATTTAATCAGGTACTTGTATACCTAGTACCCGGTTTATTATATATATATATATATATATATATATATATATTTTTTATATTAAAGTTTTATTTATAATCCTCAAATTATTTTACTCTAATATTCTAAATTCTTAATTTCTTAAATTATTTCACATTAACATTCTAAATTATTTTTTAAAATATTTATTTTAACTTCAAAACCTTTGAAAATTAATTATAATTTTTGATTTAATTTTTAATATTTTTTCAAATATGTAATTTGATTTTTTTTAAACTTGTTGTGTGAAATATATATTATAGACCTTTAAATTTTAAATTTTAGAAATTTTTTATATTTTTTCTAAAAATAATATAATTATAAAAAATAAAAAAAATTATAAATCGTGTACTCGTGACCCGAAAATATGGGTACTCATGTTTTACGGGTACCCGGATGTAATGGGCCAAAACACAAGTCAAAATTTTGATACCTGAATATTCTGGGTACCTAGTATTTCGGATATCCGAAAATACGGGTACCTGATTTTGAACACCCCTAATGGTACGGGTACTCGATTTTGAACACCCCTGATGGTAGGACTTTGAAGGAGTAAAGAGAGTGACTAAATTGTAAAACGTACAAAATATAAAGACATTTGTCAAGCGAATAAATTATGTCATTTGTCAAGCAAATAAAATATGAATTCAAACATACTTTCACAATCATCTTCTTCCTCTCCTATACGTACTTTGATATACATGAGTTCGCGACTTATGACGGGGAGTGTTTATGGTGAAGTCAGATAATTTTTATTAATTATGAAATTATTGTGATGTCACAAAGATATAATTGACATAATATAGTTAATAAATAATATGATATAATTAATGTTTCATATTATTAAGTTAATTGAGAATATGACAACACTTAAATCATTAAAATAAATCTAATAGTTTATTTATAATTGATTTAAGATTTTAATATTTTTAAACTAAATTTATTATTTCATATTTATTTTTTTAATGATTATATATATGAAATCATTAAAAATTATTTAATATTAAAATTATAATATATATTATATTATAATTAATGATAAAAATATATATATTATATATTATAGTTAATATTCAAATTATAATCATAAGATTTTGACACGTGTCACAATTTGATTGGAGAAATAAATTTATTAAAGTTAAATTGAAATTAGGATCTAATTAAAAATTAAGAATTAAATTTAATTCTAAAATCTAGGGGATTTAATCTACAAATTTAATACATAACTAGAATAAAAGATTTTAAAGTTAATGCTTAAATTAAGGCATCAAACAAATTAAAAGCAAAATAAGGATAAAATAGGATTAAATTAAAATCTAAGGAAACAAATCATATACAAGTAGTGACTAAAATGGAAGCAAATAAAGCAGGGTGTCAATGTCGCAAATATGTAACTTTACAAAGACTTGCACCCTAGTTATACCGATTTTTTTAACTGCCACACCTCCGTTAGATGTCAATAGATATTAATGTCGTGTGGCCATTTTGAACACATTTAAATAGTTCAATGGCATATTTGTCACAATTTTAAAAATGGTAGTCATTTCGTGACCTGACCCATATTTATGTGGTCATTTGTGTCGTTTACCCTAATTTTTTTTTTGTTTATGTACTATACAGCACAAAGTTTATTTTTCTTTCAAAATGTAAACAAAATATATCAACGGGATTGGTTCAAATAGTAGTAGTTTGATATCGTTTAAGTAAGGTTTTAGGTTCGAATTCTTGTGTATGCAGAAAATGCTCGTTTGAAGACTTACCACCAAAGTCAAGTATACGACTCGAGTCGATCCAGATTAGTCAATGCAAGCCTTGTAACTAGAGAAAAAAAAACAAAATATAGTGAAAACCACCGATAATTTCCATCTAACATGGAGAGCGCATTTAATATACGTAAAGAACCACTTGAAAACAAAAATATAGGGAACAAGGAATGGAAAGCCCATACCAGTCGCATTTGCTTTGTTCTAGTCGTGACAAAAGAGAAATCCAATTCCGATAACTTTAGTGATAAAAAGGTTATTTGTTCTTAAATAAAAGTTATATTGTATATGAAAACAAACAACGTCTAAACAACGTTTCTCAATCCACTGTTGTCTTTTAACAAAATCAAACTGAATAAATGACAATGTTTGTTTGAGAAACCCTACACATGATATAGGAGTCCTAACTATCAAACACATCTCCTCTCTCAAGCTATGTCCATAAAAAACACGACCAAAACCCAAAAAACCCCGATGATACGAATCAGGGGAGGTCAGGTTTTTTTACAACACTTGTGTAGGATCACTGATGCATAAATGTAACCATCAAACACTGGAGGTCAGGTTAATGATGGAGTTGGTGCAAACATTAGGCGGTGGGTTTCACTCAATATTATGCCAAGATAACATGGTCATGATCATTTTCATTAGCATCAAGCATACAGTTTAAATTAAGATTTCTATCAACATTCATGATGAGGTACCAAATACCAATGGTTTACCTTGATTTTGAAGCCAGCCTGGCACTAGTTTCAATAAACATAACATGGAGCTCACGAGCCTTGGCTTCTGCTTCCTCCATTGACACTTGCCTTCAAAACAGCCACAAAATGCACAATGAATGAATAGAAATCAAACAGTGGAGATTAAGTGCAAGAATCTGCAGAAAACTTTGCATCGGTGAGTGCCCTTATGTTGTACACCAAATTAATGGCCGCGGACTAATGGAAAGGCAATTGAAAACTAGAAAGTAAGGGAATCTACCATTTGAAAAGGAGAATGCCACCTTCTACTCTCTTTGTTCAACATAAGTAGTATAGTGGGATACTGCCTTCACTTGCTTCTGCACAAAACGTAAACACCAGCAAATTTCAACATGCAATGAACTTTTGACTCTACTGGGTACCTTTCTTATCTTCCAAGTTTTATTATTTTGATGTTTTTGCTCTTATACACTGCTGAATTTCCTTCAATTTATAGAAGTCGTCCAAGATATTAAGGGTCTGTTTGTTTGGCTGTAATTGATTTTCTGAAAATTGAATTCTTAAAAATGAATTACTGGAATTTGAATTCTGAAAAATGAATTATATTTCTGGAAAACGTTTTCCGTAAACTTAATTACATTTTTCTGAAAAACATCTTTAAAAACGTTTTACGATGTTTGGAAGACGTTGTTTAAACATTTTTCCACTAGTTGATGAATTTTTTAAAAATTATTTATTACAAATATTAAATACAATCAATAGTATTATTTATCATAAAACTTAATATTATTATTTTTAAAATATTAAAATAATTTATTTATTATTAAATATTATTTTTATAATTTTATTAATAAAAATATTAATATTGATATATTTTATTGAAATAAAAATATTATAAATTATATTAATTATTTATTAAAGTAATAGTGTTATATTATTTTTTTAAAATATTAATTAGTATATTTTAAATATATTTATTAAAATATTATTAGATTATTAGATTAATATTAAATATATAAATAATATTATTCATTATTAATAATTTAATAATATTATTTCTATGAAATTAATAAATAATATAAATTTTATTAATAATTTATTATATATTATTAAAAATAAAAATATAATATCTTATATTATTATAATATAATTGATTATTTTATTATAATATTAAAAATATAATATTATATTATTAGAAATATTAATAAAATATATTTTAAATATTTTGATTAAAATTATATTAAAATATTTTATTAATATTAAATTCATAAAATAAAATTATTTTGAGTATTTATTCTTTGAAGTGAAAAGTTCGAAAAAATGACTTACGAAAATTTAGTTCGTAAGTCATTATCTAGAAAACACAAAGAAAATTTTGTTGATTAGGAATATGTTTTACGTTAATCAACCAATTTTTCTCCAACCAAACACTGAAAAACATTTTCCGAAAAACGAATTGTGTGATACAAACACAGGATTAACAACAAAACCCTATTCACATATACAATGGAGTAAGGGGGAGGTAGGTTAGTAAGTTGCCCCCAACACCAGGTTGAGAGCAGTTTCCGTGGAAGACCTCCGACAATTCAGAAAATTAAAAATATAGATAAAATACAATGCATGTATAAATAAATAAATAAATAAATAAATAAATAGTTGAACAGTCTTCATATGCAGTCATTTATATGTGCGTCTGTAATTGGAAGTAATCCCTACAAATAAAACTCTGCCTAAAAATTTCTGCATATAGACAGAAACGTAAAGTCCTGGATTAATTTAAAAAGAGGAAACATGAAGAGAAAGATACACGAAAGTCAGCGAAAGCAAGCTATGAGAAGGAATAAAGTCAAAATGGATTAAAACATAAACTAAGGCAAACACTATTCCGCTACCCTAGTTCTAAGCCTTCATAAATTCCAATGATAGAAAACGTATTAAAAGTAGAGGTCATGGAAATTACTACAAAGACAATTAAAAAGAAGACAGAGATGCTACACCCTATGGCTGTTAACCCACACTACTCGGCTACCCTAGTCTTAAGTCTCCATACTTTTGTATTAGATATCATGTTATCGGTAAGGGATAAATCCTTCAAATCAGATCTCAAGCAGTCTACCCAATTCCTCCTTGGTCGTCCTCTCCTTCTGGCCCCTTCAACTGAAATCGACTCTACTCTCCTGACCGCATCCGACGGTTGTCGCCTAAGGATATGCCCAAACCACCGTAGTATTCTCTCCCTCAATTTTTCAGATACATGCACCACCCCCAAGGACATTCTAATAGTAGAGTTTGATGTCATGTCTCACAGAGTCCTACCACATGCCCATCTAAGCATTCTCATTTCTGCAGCCTCCATTCTCCTTACGTGATCCTTTTTGATTGTCTAATATTCTGATCCATACAACAACGCTGATCTTATTGTCATTCTATAAAATTTTCCCTTGAGTTTTAGAGGCACCTTCTTGTCTTACAAAACTCCAGAAGCAGCCCTCAACTTTAACCATCCCGTCTTTATACGGTGTGAAACGTCATCATCTACACCTCCATCTTTATGTATCATAGACCCTAAGTACTTAAAACAATCATTTGAAACGAGAATGTGTCCTTCGATATATACTTCTACATCTTTGTCGTTTTAGTTCTCACTGAAGTTTGAACATAAATACTATGTCTTTTCAATATTAATCTTTAGACATTTTTCTTTCAAAGCAGTATTTCATGTAACAAGTCTACTATTCTCATTTTTTGTTTCAGCAACTAGGACAATGTCGTCAGCGAAAAACATACATCATGAAACACCGTCTGGTGTCGCACAATAGATGTCATCCATAATCAAGACGAAGATGTAAAGGCTAAAAACCAACCCCTGTGGAGTTCGATTTTCACCAAGAATGTCTCGGTGTCGCCAACTATATCCTGACGTATGTAGTAGATCTAAAGTACATATCACGAATCGTCCGGATATAAACAGTTAAGATCCGTCTCGTTTCCTCCAAACAAATAAACCCTAAATATTTGAAAATTCTTATCCACTACAAAAGGCTAATGGGCTAATAGCATAATGTATTATCAATTGTTACAAAATGGCAAGATGTTCGATTATGAAATACATTCGAAAAGGCAAATTTTGATCCATAAGAACCACCAAAGTGGATTCGTACTCTTGATCAAAGACCAGAAAACTTCATTCAACTTCAGCCAACAAGTCGCTCTCTTTGCAGAAGACATGCCTAGTATCTGTTCCCAAATCCACCTACAAGCAATCAATTCATACAATCAACTATTGAAATGATTCATTATCATGTTGATTAAGGAAATAAAAGCCCTTTTCGCACATCAAACCTATGGCTATCAATGGAAAAGATAAATGCAGCAGATGATACAGATATTATGCCTAAAAATATTCTTCACCATTAACAGTTACCATCATGTTAAATTGCTAATAGTTGGTCACTAGGAAGAATACACTTCAGCAATTAGCTCAAGCAATGAATATGGGATGATAACTAACCTCATAAGCATTTACGTCGGATAAAAGAACCTGGAAACAACAATTGCATTCTTTCAGAACTATGGCATTCTATCATTAAGACAAGCATTTTCCTACTGATCATGATTCATGAGAAAAACTGAAAATGCAGACAGGGAGCCAAACTGATTACCTTCTTTCCAGTCTCCACTTGTCCTACTTCAGCACCTACAGAAACTATCTGAAGTGAAATGATGGGAATTAATAAACATTCATTCTAAAAGTTGGGAGGGAAAGCTATGGAGGGGCTGTTGTCGTACCTCCCCCGTCAGGTGCCTCTCAAACTTGACAGCTGATTTGGGCAACAAAACTCCACCAGCTGATTTCTACGGGTACAAACCGGGTGATTGATCAGAACATAAGGGGAAAAAACGCATTTCATCACAAAATATTATCAGAAGGTATCCACTCCGACTAAGAGAGCTGACGATTTAATAACTTATACAAAACAGGCAAGCACCACGCATTCATCTACCAATAAGATTGTTCCCTTCCCATTCCCATTCCCATTCCCCAGTATGACATCTAATAGCCGACAGTGTTTTGTCTAAAATGTCAATAAGAAGAACCAATTTATGCTACTCAGTTCCGATTTCTTAGAATTCAGAAAACAAACAAGGTCTCATGGTTGCATTTAAGAAGGGAACAAACTAGTTAAACCAGGCAACTTCAGTGCTAACATTAAATAATAACCTGCAAATCAAACAAATGGACATACCTCGGGTAACTCTTGGAGACGGATAAGAACTCTGTCAGCTTGTGGAACAACCTGCGAAAACCATAATACGTTAAGCAAAAAAATTAGCATTTAAATAAAAAGAACCCAAAGAACAATCTGCCTGTTTATAAATTCATATAAATTGTCTTTGTCTGACTGGCATAATTGAATTAAAAGGATATTACCTTGGTGGGTTCCCATTTACTGGCTTTGATTCTAAGACAATTTCCTCGAGACCCTGCTGGGAAGTAAACCCACCATCAAAAACATAAGTGATTAGAAGAATAAGAAGCAATCTATCAGAAAAAGAAGAGGCAACTTGAACTAACCGAGAAGGTTGCGAGAGGAAAGAGAAGGGATTGTGGGTTTGTATAGCGTGAAGGATATTGGTGCTGAGAGAAATGCGGACGCCATGGATAAGATTAGGAAGCAGACTTGACGACTGGTAGTTGCCCAGATATGTAAGCAAAACCAAAACCCTCGTATGCTTCACTTAGTTTTTACGTTTATAGGCCTAATGGCAATCCGAAAAGAGGGTGAGGTTCTAGAGACTTCCTCGATTTGTCTTGTTTTATCGAACAGAAAAATAGGTCTAGAAATGTCTAGTTACTGTGATATTTAAAATAAATAAATAAATAAATAAACTATCCACCCAAATTATTTATAAAATCATATACTTACTTTTTTATATATTTTTTATTTTCTTTCAATTTAATCTTAAAATATAAATAAGTGTAACAACCCGAATATTTACAAAATAATATTAATTGAAATTGGAGGTAAATTGTGAAAATGGGTGAAATTAAGTGACTAAATTAAAATTTATGGAAACTTGTATGCCATTTTTGAAGTAAAGGAAATTCAGGGACCAAGCCCTGAATTTCCCCTAAAACTATCGGTAGGCTTGATGATTTAAGCGTGATTTCTGATTTACAATCAGAAATCACAAATGTTATTTCTTTAATTTTCTTCCTCTCACACCTCCACTTTCAAGTCCGATCCAAACGTCGTCCGAATTCCGATCGTTGTTTTGAAACCACCGTTGTGTTCATCATCGAGCGAGGAACAAACCCTTCAAATTAATTGAAGCAAAACGCGGCCAAACGTCGGGAATTTCCAGTCAAAGTAGCGACGGTTTTGTTAGCTCTATCGCCGAGGAAATCTTAAATTCACCGCTGATCGTTGCTCCGTTTACGACACCTCCCGCACCATCGTGTTCCTTGTGCCGTTCCGAGTTCACCGGTGTCAACCTTGTCCGCCGTAGACGGCGGCGCGTGAGGAGGTGGTGCAGTCAAAGATTCGGCCGATTTGAAATCGAGCTCTCCGCCGTTCAAAAATTTGAACCGATCGTTGTAAGTATCTCGAAATCGCTCAAAATAATTTTTAGAACTTTTTTTCGGGATTTTTAGGGCCCCGGAGGACGCCTCACGCGCCACATGCGCCGCCGCAGGGCGAGTGGCTGCTGGAAACCGGTTTAACCGGTTTTCAACCGGTTCTGACCGGTTTGACCGGTTTCAACCGGTTCGAACCGGTCTGAACCGGTCTGACCGGTCTGACCCGACCCGACCGTTGACCCGACCCGACCGTTGACCGTTGACCGTTGACCGTTGACCGTTGATCGTTGACTTTCTTTGACCAAAACTAAAAATGGCTTTGACCGAGCATTAAACGACCGTTAATCTTTTCCGAGTATATCTATCCTGATAGTTTTCGACGTGCCGAATCCGTTTCCGTGGTCCGTTTTGTCAAATTCAAATCCGAAGGTCTCCAAATCTATGGTCAAAGTAGTTGACTTTGACTTTGACCAAGAATTTGAATTTTCGGAAAGTCATACTTTATGTTTTTTTGACGCCCTGATTTCGATTCCGCAATCCGTTTGGCCAAATTCAGACTCGAAATACCTCAAATTGATAGTCAAACCCGAAAAATGCTTATATACTTAAGAAGTTTAGCTTTGAACAATTAAATAAGATTTGTGACTGATAAATATTATTGTTTGAAGGTACAAGAGACTCTTCGGATCGTTCGACAGCTCGACCCAGCTCTTCTAGATCAGTTAAACCATGTGTACCAGTATTCACCCGTTCGAAAACTGTAGCAGAGCGTGGTGAAACCAGCAATCAGTAGATTTGTTATTTGAATCTATTGTCGAAGTGTGTTCCCTACTTATTACTGAACTGTTTTATTGGTTTTAATATGTGGTACACCGAATTCATTGGTTATTGTTTTATTGATGCACCAATTTAATGTGACAATTTATGGAATGTGGCTGCTATCTAATTTTTGTTTTGAAATGGTATTTATGGAATTTTTGAAATGGTATATGATTACCATGTTTTTGGATTTATGGAATTTATGTCACAGTACAATTGAATTTTGGAATTGAATTACGATGGAATAGCTCTGATCAAGCTAACTGGGCCTAATGTGACTCTTGAGGGCCCCAAGATGTTTCATTAGGTCGGCTTTCCTTTGCTGTGTGCTTATGGTAAGCTATATGGACTTATTGACTTGGGCTTAAGGATACAAGCTTCAGAGCCTATCCTTAAGTCGGCTTTCTTTTTGCTATGTGCATAAAGTAAGCTATATGGAAAATAATTTTGGGAACTACTGATGGTGTACCAGAAAAGGGTTTAAACTATGATTTTTAAAAAGTTAAACTCTTTTACGAATTTGTGAGATTACTGGACTATGATTTGTACCTATTGTGATTTTATGGAAATGTTGGGACACACTGAGCCTAGCTCACCTTTTGAAAATGTTTTCCCCTTTAAGATACTGTTGGTTAGATACCTTGGTTCGAGCACTTGGAGGATCAACATATCTCTTGAAGTAAATCAGATTGTAATGTTTTTATCTGGCAAGTTGACTTTATTTTGGTGACATGGACCTTATTTTAAAATATCGGATTTTATAATGATAACTCTTTTGCTAATACTGCTCGGTTTATTGTGATATTGAATTTGAAGACATGTTTTAAATTAAATTATTATTTATTGGTACTATATTAACGAGTTGGATTTTGATAGTATAATTTGTTTATAATTTAATGTTATTTATAATGTGATTTTATATTGATGGAATAACGGTTTCGAAAAATGTCTTTAATAATCATAATGTGATCCACTAGACTTAGTCGAAACGCATAGACCGGGTCTAGGGGGTTACATTTATTGGTTACTGTTTTATTGATGCACCAATTTAATGTGACAATTTATGGAA